AGAAATCTATGTCTGCTTTGATTCGAGGTTCTGCCTGTTTCATTTCATCCACTTGACTTCTAAGATATAATCATAGATGGAGGACAGAGGTGTCATCACAGCCAGGGGATTCTGTGAGTTATGCCATTTAGTTACCATGAAGTTGCTAGCTTGGTTTTGAGGAGGGATATGCACTTTATGTATATTCCTTGTGTGTGGAATTAGAAAGAGTTGGAAATCACATCTTACATTTTTTTTTCATATTCCCTAGTTTGAGCATGGTATGTTATGGTGGTTTGGATAAGAATGTTCCATAGAATATCATATGTTTAGATAATTGGTTTCCAGTTTGGGACATTGTTGGGGTAGGGTTAGGAGGTATGGCCTGTTGGAGAAGGTGTGTCACTAAGAGTAGACTTTGAGGATTTAAAAGTCCGTGGCATTCTCAGTTGCTTCTCTCTGCTTTGTGATTGTACATCAGATTCAAGTTCTTAGATCTTGCTTCTGCATCTGCTTATCTGCTGCCATGCTTCCTGCCATGATGCCATAGACTCACACCATCTGCAACTGCAAGCCCCAGTAAACTCTTATGTGAGTTGCGTTGTTTATGTAGCAGTAACTAAGACCATATCAATTTCAGTGTATCACCACTGTATCTAAACATACTTTGGAGAAGTAACTCATTTCCCATTCCATGCTGTTTCCTCTGCTGATGCTTTCTTCTTCTCTCACACATCATTCTTCTCCAATGAGCCTTTTGTGTGAACCCACTCTGCCCAAGAACCTTTCCCTGTAACCTCCACTGCATATCTGTTCTCCCTGTCCACTGTGTGACTTTTGACAGAGCTTTACTACATTAGTAGGTTGACTGTTATCTCTCACCTATGGACTACCAGCTTCCACTCAGGGTAGTTGGTAATATTTCCCTCTCTATGCTGCCTGACAAGTGCTATGATCAAGATCACTGAGTTGAGTGGTCCCTCTTTTTCTATTGTGGTCTGAATGCTTGTGCCCATTCCAAATTCTAAAGTTGGGAATCTAATCCCTGATGGAATGGTGTTAGGAGGTGATTGTACCATTATTCCAGAAAATTCTTTTAGAATGCCATTATATAAGAAGTCCTTTAGAGCTAACTTACCATCTCTACCATGTTCAGACTTAGCTAGAAGAAGGCTTTGTAAGCTCAGAGTTGGGTATTTTACATATACAGCTATTGCCAACATCATGTTCTTCGTGTTTTTTTCTGCCTGTAGCATCATGAGATGTAAATTCTGTTGTTTGTAAGACACTAAAAGTCTATGGTATTTTGCTACAGAAACTTAAATGGACTGTAGTCAGAAATAAATATGTCTTCCTGAATTCTTATGTCTTGAGTAGCATATTTGTAAGACATAATAGAATGGGAAATGAGGATGAAGAGTCATTGAAAACCCCAACTGGGAGCAACACCTAGCAGGGTGGCTCACTTGGCTTGAGAATAGTGAACTGCCCAGAGGATCTTTACCTATGAGTTTGGAGGGGTTGGCCTGGAAGCAAGCTTCCTGTTGTATCTCTTCTTTTCATCATTTCAGAATTTTAAAATTGAAGATCTGAGGATCTGCAATTAGAAGCTATAAAAGTAGCTATCTGCAGTTTGTTTCCCCCAGCATACCTAGTTGACTTCCTTCAATGATGGAAAGCTCTTTCCTGATCTACAGCCTGGGCCTGATACAGTGTCCATTTCTAAAGATATAGCACCTGTTCTCAGCAAGGGTCACAGGCTTGGTGAAGAGGCAGTGAGGAGTAAACTGATCATTACTATTCACTTGGGACCACGGCACACTAAAGGAGAATGAAAGAACATTTGTGCCATGAATGGGAGACTACAAAGCCAAGGATAAATATTTGAAGTAATATGTAAGTTTTGACTAGGCGATGATTAAGAAAGGCAAGAAAGCTTTTCTAAAAAAAATAGAGTTTTAGGACTGAGTCAAAGTAGAGATTTTATCCGTCATAAAAAATAAAATAAAAATCTTTCTGTTCACTATGTGAGATTCTAAAAAGTCCCTAAGAGTGCGAGGGAGAGAAACGTAATGATTCTTATTTTATGAAAAAATTACTTAAGTGGGTAAAGTGATATGTGCATGCATGTCTGTATCTGCACGTGTATATGTGTGTGTGTGTGTGTGTGTGTGTGTGTGTGTGTGTGTAATGTGACTGTGTCTCCTGGAATAGAGTTAGAGAGCTAAAAAAGATAGTATGTACATGTGCTTGCAAATATCTGCATGTGTGTGTATTGGCATAGGGACAGAGGGCTAAGAGAGGGCCACATTCTTGCCAGATAGTCTCATCTTGACCCAATAGTTCTATCTGCTAGTGCTCCCTCCCTTACCACCACAGCCAATACATTTTCTGTAGTAGCCACTCTAACTCTCACACATTTCTAGACTGTCTCTTTTCTTTTGAAGTCCTTGCTTGTTTCCTTTCAATTGGATGCTGTTAGGTTCTTTGTACCATAGACACAGCATTTTTGTATCTGCATTACACCATGAGTCTTCTTGATTCATCACTACCCTGTGTATCTGTGACAATTATTAGTTTACATGGGTATGTGACCATAGATGATGCAGAATTGCTGTCACTAAGTGCTGGCTCTGCCCACATTGCAAAGTCACACATATAAAGCCTAGTTCTGCTACTATATCATGTTAGGCAACTTTAACCAAGTTATATAATCCATGAAAGTTTCAATTTCCTTGCACAGTAGTGACATAATAATACCTGCCATACAAAGTGTTTACTCATGCAGCTTCAATAAGACAATGTATTTGCAGAGAACTTAGAACATAGTCAGTGATGGGCTGGTCATTTAATGACTGTTACATATCATGACCAAGTATTCATTCTATGTCCTGAATGAGTATCTTCATTAGAGTGTGTTTTATTCAGCTGTGTTATTGCTATTATTTCGTAGTTGCTCTTCCTGATGCCTAAGAAATAAAGATGTTTACAGAGATTTCAAGCATTTAAATCTTTAAAACTCTCTGGTCCATAATAAGAAAAATAGCCAATGACATACAGAAGCATAATTCCCAAAATTTCCATGTGATCCAATTAAAACTTCTAAGCTTCAATAGAACCTTTATCTTTAGTACATTATTCAACCTCTTCTTTCAACTCCCTGGAAGCATTCCATAGCTGATGTGGATTGATCTCCAAATTGCTTTTGGAAACTGGTCCCACAATCTCATACTGTATGCCCTCGGCAGTGATTCTGTCATCCAAAGAAACATTCTTCTGATGGTCCAACACTAAGTTAGTCATCTGTTTCTGTCACCTGTGAGGCTGCACAGTTACCTAGCCTATTTTAGAAGTGAACATGGTTGCTTTCAGATTTGGAGAAATCAGCCCTTCTGTTTGCTGGAATGAGCGCCAATGTGGAATGATTTGGAACATTGAGATTCTCAAGAGCTGCCTGCAGGTACCCTTCTCTGTTCCTCAGCCTACAACCAAAGCTAGGGTAGGGGTGGAGAAGTCTTCCAGGGTTAATTTACTCATACCAAAATCTCAAGGGACACTGACTGGAAGAAGTTAGGGGAAGCACCCCATACCAGGTTTTCATTTGTTTGTTTGTTTTTCTCCCTCACTAACCACAATTCAGGAACGCCCCCCCTCCATTTTATTTAAAAAATTAAACAAGCAAAGCAGTCTTCCAGGTGTCTTTCCCTGCGTCAGCAGCGGCTAGGTGAGTGCAGTGCACACAGCATATCTATAATTCAGCTCAGGAATATTTCCCTTAATAATTAATTGGGAATCACAAAAGAAGGAAGCCCAATAGGGCCCAGGAACAAAGCTGCCTGCAAGTATGGCATCCCAGGTGCCAACTGAACAACCCAGGTAGGATCTGCTCCAGTAGTTGGATCTGTGTGCCATTGTGCTTGTTAGATCCATCAGAGTTTCTGGGGGAATTTGCAGGAGACCTGAGCCTGATCATTACATGGATCTCTCCTCTCCTTCCTCCCCCTCCTCTCCCTCCTTCTCCCTCCCATCTCCTTTCTGAGGTAACACATTTTTTTTCCTGTGGATTGTCCAAAATTGCACACCCACATCTTTGTCCCAAACATGTTTCACAAACTAACCACCCATGAAACCACCTCAGTTCATTTGGGGTGGGGTTGCATTTCTTGGGACACACTTCCCTGCCCCGAGGGCACATATTGTGGAATGCTTTTTTTCAAAGAGTAGGTGGAAGGTAAAGAAGATAGGGACACTAATATAAAGTCTCCCCAACGCCCCTGCATTAAGACTCGGATATTTTCACAGCAACACTTCCACAGAGGGGTCACCTCAGCCTTACAAAGCCTCCAGCCTAGGCCATTCTGTAGTTTGCTCAAAATCCTGAAACAGCCCTCCTGTTGCGATTTGAGCCTCTGGTGCACAGTAACCTTCACCCAGGGTGACTCTCCAGATTCAACCACTGGCTCTCTAATATATGGTCTCATACATGAGTAAAGCTGATTTTTCTCTGAGCCTGGGAGACTTGGACTTGCAGGCTCTGGTGTTCTAGGAAGACTGAAACTATGGGTGGGGTGTACTCACAGGGGAGACAAGGGTTCCTGAACCTGCAGTCTCGCCAAAGATGCACCTGAGCCCTACTTCTGCACATTCTGGCAGGAAACAGAGGACTGGTGCCAGGGCAGATGAAGAACGATCAGGGTAGGGAGGGAAGTCGCTCCAAGCCGCCCCAATTTTCTGGACTGCATTCCCCATCGAAGTCCCTCTCCCAGTTTCTCTAGTGGCACCTGCGCTGTGGTCCTGGACTTCTATTCCAGCTCCTGTGGGACACATCTGTCTCCGGGATTTGCTCTTCGCTTGGGGATAGTCAAGTGTTCCTGGGATGGTTTCCAGAAGCTAAGCAGTCATGGGGGCTGGGCCGACGGGTGGGGTCGCAGCGTCGTGACTGTGCCCGCCCAGCCACGCGGGGAGGCGCCCCGGGTGACAGCCCCAAAGGCCACACCCTCGGCCTGGCCTGGCCCCGCCCCCGCCCGTGCGCGCTGGCAGCCAGGGGAGGCGTGTGCTGCTCCCGCAGCCAGCCAGCCACAGAGCAAGACTGAGATGGATACTGGAGAAGGAATCCAGGCTTAACAAGTGATCGCTGCTGTCTAGGATTTTGAGTCTTTTTCGGGGGAACCTTGGCTGCAGTTCTCAGCCCAGGTCTGCTCTGCTGAACTCCAGAGGAACCAGGAATCTCTGGGGTCTACCTTGGAGCGTCCCTAATCCCCACCTCTGGTCTCCAGTAACGAGGACTCTGTGAAACCCCCCACCCCCCACCCTGGCCAACGCGACAGAACTTGTTCCATGGATATTTGGGAGCCTCCACCTGCCAAATCCGAGTGATTTCTTGTACTGCTCCCCCACCCCCATGATTCTGCCCCTCCTCCAGCTGTTGCAGCTTGAGGGGGGAAACAAATCACCAGGGGATTTTTCTCTATTTTTATTTTTCTCACTTGCTGGGAACGGTAAGTATGATACCTTTCTTATCTTTCCTCCACCCTACTCTTTTGGCTGTTGAGAAACTGTGGACATTTGAGGAATAAATAATATCGAGAATGTGACAGAAGGACATGAATGGAAGGCGGTTAAAAATAAACCAGGAGGTGGGAGAAAGGAGGTGCAGATGCAACGCAGCAGCACTCTGGGGGCAACCCAGGGGATGGGGAGAGTGCGCCCTGCTTAATGTACCCTAGCGGGAACCCAGGTCTGGAGGCCAGAGCTCAATTAAAGATGTCGTTCCCCAATGAGGTGGGGTTTAGATTCAGCATCGTTTTCATTTTGCCTCATCTCAGCCTCACCGTTCCTCTCCTTTGCGAACAGCTGATGAACGGGTCTGTATTGCTGCCTCTCCCAACATTAGTATGGCATGCATTTTCAATGTTTGAGCAGTCCACAGGGACTGGATAAATGGTGTGCGTTGAAGTATGTGTTTCTTATGGTGGTGACTTTTCTGATTTTATCACCTTTTTAATTGTTAATTTGGTCCTCTTTCTTTCTGCTCTTCTCTCAGATTTGGTTCAGGTACCACCCTAACACAGTTGCAGAAACAAACACCTAGAAAGGAAAACAGCCGTGCTGTTGTTGAATAAGCGGAGAAGAGGGATGGTTGGCTGGTATTTGGGAGCATAGAGACAGGAATAGGTGCCTTGCAAAAATCCTATTAGTTTATTGGTGTTGAGAAAGGAGGGGGGAAAACCCTGGAAAGGTCTTTTGCATAAAGTATGCTTGATTCTCCTAAGAAGAATACCTGGAGAAAGGGAGATTTTTAAAACAGTTGGATTTGTTGGGAAAGTGACTTGGTGAATTTATCCTGTTTTTCTTTCTTTCTTTTCTTCCTCCCTTTCCCTTCCTTTCTTCCTTCCCTTTCTTTCTTTTTTCTTTTTCTTTAATCTCTCCCTTTGACCACTCCTGCCTCCTTCTCTCCCTCCCTCCCTTCTTCCTTTCCTTCTTTCTGTCACTCTAGCATATGAGGCAACTAGGAGACAATTAAAAGGAACACAGTTTGCTTTTTGAATGTGTGAGTTAGAAAAATGGTAACTAACAAGCCTAAATAAATAAATGAATAAGGAAACATTTGCTGTGGGGCAGAAAAAAGGTAGTTCTAGGGCTGGTTGAATTAACAATGAGCTGGAAGACCCTCTAATTCATGACCTTTGGGTATGAAAGGCACCTGCACATTTGTAAATATTTGGGCATGTCAGTTAAGTAAGTTGGGACTTGCTTAAGTGATATCTATGCAAACTGTTTGTGGGTGTTGAGAAGTTGAGCAAATTCTCAGGCTATTTGAACTATGCCAATCTTAAGGATGTTAACTGACATGCCACAGTGAATGTAGCCATAGGACAGTTTTATAAGGAATGTGTGGAGACCTCTCCATGGTAAACTCAGCTGAATGCAAGCTGATATGGTAAGTCAAAGAGAGGAGGGGATGTCACCAGGGATAACTGCTGAGGTGTATTTTCTATTATTTTTTGGTTTAATCAAGGATGTATGCATGTGAGATGCCCCCTGTTTGCCATTTCCCTGATTGTCATTTAAGTTATGGAACTGACACCAACAGCAAAGAGCAGCAGGTGTTCAAGGGTAGGGATCCTGTTAATGGCTTCAGAAAGCCATTGCTCTCATGCTGCCCAAGTGTTCCTGGTAATAGAAGGTAGAGGATACCCTGAATTCTACCTGTTACCATCCTTTCCCATTATTTGGGTTATTTTCTGTATTCTTACAAATTCTCTCAGAAGAAGCAGGAAGAGACTGGAGTTAGGGGCAGAAGATTTCCAAAGTCCTGACTGAGGAGATGAATCCAATGGGTTTAGGAGAGAAAAGTAAGAAATGAGGGCCAGGAGATGATGGTAGGACAGATTGAGGTCTGCCAAAAAATTGTGGGGTGAATTGGAGAATAATAGATCAGGATTAGATTAGATGGGGGTAAAGTGTGCACTCCAAGGGCATGATTCATGTGTTTCAGAAGAGTACAGCAGGTGAACACGGAGGTTTCAAGGAGAGGGGATAGTTACTAAGCGATGTGGGAACTGGGATGTGCTTCTAGGTTGTGGGTGGTAGGGAGTGTTCAGGAAGCTGGAGTGCAGAAACAAACAACAGGGCATGTTTCATGGACTCATAGAATGTGAGATGCACATTCTCACAGGCATTGGTGAGTGTCGTAGTACCTTGGATGTGCTCAAGTTCCGTCCTTCCCCACTTCAGACAGTGGTAAAGAATGTGATTTTTGGGAGAGGGTGGATAATCGACAACGTAGTTTAATGCTGCGTTATCCATAACTGTCATATTCATTGCCATTCATTATGTGCAATACAGTGTGCTATCCTGATAGCATCCATGATTTCAGTTGGTACTTACAAAGGTGGAATGGAGGGAATGGATTCTGTTGTTTATGCTTTAAGGACGAGGTGACTGATGTTCATTCAAGTAGTTTGAGTCTAAACTGAAGAAAACTGTTCTTTTCTTCTCACTTCTTTAATCCTGAGTAAAGACAGAAAAAGAAAATGGAAGGGTGCTTAATTCAGCAACATTTTATGAGTGAAAGAATTGAAAGAGAATTCATTCCTTGAGATAAATGAATAATGAAAACAGATGTAACGTCACAGCATTGCTGCTGTGGAACGAAGAGGATGCTAGTGAGAACTGAAACCTGGCATTGGTGAAGGGGCAGAGGAAAGCAAGATCCAATGTGGGTTGAGAATGGACAGAAGTAAAATAAATGAGTTGCCACAAAAAATATAGACGGAGCTGAACTAATAACCAAAGAAGAAAGCAAGATGGATGTTGAGTGGGAGAGATTTTAGAGCAGCCTTCCCTGTGCTCTTGAGAAGTTATGGTCTCCTGGTATGTGTCTCTCGATTTGCCTGAGGACAAGAGAAGCGGTGTGTGTGGAGTGAAGGGCTGTTTGCTCTTTATGCTTTGCTTCTTTTTATTTTTCTTCTATGCTTGTTTCCCATCCCTCCTCAGGTGAAGTGCTTCTTCTGAATGAGTTAGCCAAAGGATGCTCTTCATTTCCTGATTTCTATGGAGACCTCAGAGTTGGGTTTGCCTCTGCTGGAACCTCATCTTCTACCCTGTCTGCCTTCCAAGGTCTCTGCCTCTATCTACCACATGGTGTTGTCTGTGGGTCGATGAAGCCTTTGATGATCTTAGAGAGAGCCTGGGAAGTCTTCCTCATATACTGAGCAGCAATGGTTGGACATATTCTAAGGCACATTTTAACATGGGTCAAGCCATCACTAGAAGGCAAGTGCTAAGACTAAAGACTTATTTGCATTTTATTTAAATTGGATGGACTGGGCTTTGGACAATTTCCATGCAGAAAATTATATTTCATTTTCTAGGCACAACTTCTGGCTGTCAGATACTTGCTGCCTTTGAGTCTTGCAGCGTCATCACCCACCGCATCCCAGACATACTTCCAGATTTGAACATCTACCCCAAGACACGTAGGTGTTTGGGAGACCGCAACATTTCATGACTTATGTTTGAGGAGCACTAGGCTGTTGTCTAGACTAGCCAAGCTCTGGAAAGCAACGCTGAATCTCTGAGAAGAGGGAGCATGGGGTGTACTGATTTAAAAACAGAAAATGCAAAGTTGGACTGAAAATATCCCAAGTCTTCCAGGCAATCTGCTTAAGGCTTCCAAACTTACCTTAATTTGGTAAGAAAATAAACTGCCCTATTTTTCTTTCTTCTTCTCTTACAACTGGAACCAGCCATTTCCCCAAACCACCATGGAGGTTGCAATGGTGAGTGCAGAGAGCTCAGGGTGCAACAGTCATATGCCTTATGGTTATGCAGCCCAGGCCCGGGCCCGAGAGCGGGAGAGACTTGCTCACTCCAGGGCAGCTGCAGCTGCTGCTGTGGCAGCTGCCACCGCTGCTGTCGAAGGCACTGGGGGTTCTGGTGGAGGTCCCCACCATCACCACCAGACGCGTGGGGCCTACTCATCCCATGATCCTCAAGGTAGCCGAGGTAGTAGGAGGAGGAGGCGTCAGCGAACTGAAAAAAAGAAACTCCACCATCGGCAGAGCAGTTTTCCTCATTGCTCAGACCTGATGCCCAGTGGCTCTGAAGAGAAGATCCTGAGGGAGCTGAGCGAGGAAGAGGAAGACGAGGAGGAGGAGGATGAGGAGGAAGAGGAGGGAAGGTTTTACTATAGTGAAGATGACCATGGGGATGGATGTTCGTATACAGATCTGCTGCCACAGGATGATGGGGGTGGTGGTGGCTACAGTTCAGTTCGCTACAGTGACTGCTGTGAACGTGTGGTGATAAATGTGTCTGGTCTACGCTTTGAAACCCAAATGAAAACTTTGGCCCAGTTTCCAGAAACTCTGTTGGGAGACCCTGAGAAGAGGACTCAGTACTTTGACCCTTTGCGCAATGAGTATTTTTTTGATAGGAACCGCCCCAGCTTTGATGCCATTTTATATTATTACCAGTCAGGAGGCCGCCTGAAGAGGCCAGTCAATGTGCCCTTTGATATCTTCACTGAGGAGGTGAAGTTCTATCAGTTGGGAGAGGAAGCCCTGCTCAAGTTCCGGGAGGATGAGGGCTTTGTGAGAGAAGAGGAGGACAGGGCTTTGCCAGAGAACGAATTTAAAAAACAGATTTGGCTTCTCTTTGAATATCCGGAGAGTTCTAGTCCTGCCAGGGGCATAGCCATTGTATCTGTCCTGGTCATCTTAATCTCCATTGTCATCTTTTGCCTGGAAACCTTGCCAGAATTCCGAGATGATAGAGATCTCATCATGGCCCTGAGTGCAGGTGGGCACAGCAGGTTGTTGAATGACACATCGGTACCCCACCTGGAGAACTCAGGGCACACAATATTCAATGACCCTTTCTTCATCGTGGAGACAGTGTGTATTGTGTGGTTTTCCTTTGAGTTCGTGGTTCGATGCTTTGCTTGTCCCAGCCAAGCTCTCTTCTTCAAAAACATCATGAACATCATTGATATCGTCTCCATTTTGCCTTACTTCATCACTCTGGGTACTGATCTGGCCCAGCAGCAAGGAGGTGGCAATGGCCAGCAGCAGCAGGCCATGTCCTTTGCCATCCTCAGGATCATTCGTCTGGTCCGAGTATTCCGGATCTTCAAACTCTCCAGACATTCCAAAGGCCTGCAGATCCTGGGCCACACCCTCAGAGCCAGCATGCGGGAACTGGGCCTTCTTATCTTCTTCCTCTTCATCGGGGTCATTCTCTTTTCCAGTGCTGTGTATTTTGCAGAGGCAGATGAACCCACGACCCATTTCCAAAGCATCCCAGATGCATTTTGGTGGGCTGTAGTAACCATGACAACTGTGGGCTACGGGGACATGAAGCCCATTACAGTGGGAGGAAAGATTGTGGGGTCCTTGTGTGCCATTGCGGGTGTCTTAACCATTGCTTTGCCTGTGCCGGTGATTGTGTCTAACTTTAACTATTTCTACCACAGAGAGACTGAAAATGAGGAACAGACCCAGCTGACACAAAATGCAGTCAGTTGCCCATACCTCCCTTCTAATTTGCTCAAGAAATTTCGCAGTTCAACTTCTTCATCCCTGGGGGACAAGTCAGAGTATCTAGAGATGGAAGAAGGGGTCAAGGAATCTTTATGTGCAAGGGAAGAGAAGTGTCAGGGAAAGGGGGATGATAGCGAGACAGATAAAAACAACTGTTCTAATGCAAAGGCCGTGGAGACTGATGTGTGAAGTGTTTTTTCCACCCGCCACTGCCCCCCATCTCCAAATATATTTATGCATAGAGAGTGCAGTTATGAAAATGAAATATGCAAATGATTGCACTGCATACAGTAGTACGCTGTTTAATGGTAATACATGGCATAATTGTGACTAAACTTGTATTGCATATCAAATAAATGATACATCTTGGAGAAGAGGGAGGTTTAAATAGAGCAGATCTATCTTTATATTTTTTAATAGAATGAAAGAATTTTGCACATAATGAGAAAAATATTAATAATAAAGATGGTCCTGAGGAGAGAGAGAGTGTGTGTGTGTATGTGAGAGAGAGAGAGTGTGTGTGAGTGTGTGTGCACAGGGGTACGGAAGTAAATTGTCAACACTGTTGGGAATTGTGCTGTGATGGGAAAAGTTGGCATTCTGAAGTATTTACTATGTAAGAACTAATGAATTTGAGCAGTCTTTTATCAGTGTTTTAATAACATCTATGTCTTTTGATTCTGTAGTTGTTTTTTTAGAAATTGTAAGAATTATTGTGTAGAAAAAAGAGAAAGTAAATTATTTAATAGAATATAGGTCACAATTTAATCTTGGATTTAATTAAAGTTTATTTTTAACTGGAAATTAACTTTTGAAAAGGCTGCAGGGGCCTTTAGAAATTGATTATATTTTATTATTAATTTTGGGGAGGTATAATAGCAAATGCCTAACATTCTGGAGGAAATGTAACAAGTTTTGTTCACAGGTCTTAAGACTGGAATTTTTTTCTTTTGCACTACTTTCTATGCTGAAGACTGAGAGAGACTTCATACTGTGAATGTTTACTAATGTACCAATCAGTTCAATGACAATCATTGGAAGAATGATTTCTTAGTCTTATTTTATCATTCTTTTCTTTTTGTGAGACTAATGACCACACAGATGACAGCACATGATTCCTGTTTTAAAATCTGAGCAACTGATCTACAAAGGGACTATGAAGTAAATTCCACAACTGAATCTTTTGAAATTGGTTTGTTACAATGATGCTTCAGAAACTATACTATTTTAAATACTCTTATGCCTTTTAATTCCACAATAATTTAACCAAAGTTATTGCATGCACAGAAAGAATTCTTGAAGAAATAAGGCACCCAGCAGCTACAACAATTATGGCTTAAGATCTTTTTATTAAATATGCAACAAAATGATAGATCTATGTTCATTTTGTGTATGTGTGTATGTGTGTAGCCACAAAAAGCCAAAAACCCCCACAAAAATGAAAACCACAAAATGTGGGGGTTCACCTTAAACACTAAAGCATTCTGCTAACACTGAGCTAGAGAGGAATGTTTTCAGAACATTAGGTTTTCTCATCACTACTGTAATCAATACCACGTCTATCACATGGGGTTTCAGAGTACTACACTTCCATTTAACTTACAACAGGTATTCTTGAATTTGCTGGAGCACCAAATGATGAGCCTTGCACCACTGCATCACAATGAAAGACAGCTCAGAATACTGGGTATAAACACATAAGAAGCCTTACTCCCATATATATATATATATATATATATATATATATATATATATATATATAACAAAACACAGTCTTCTTTACAAAGAGTTGCCCTGAAAATTATGGGAAAATCCTGTGCCCACTATTTCATTCTGCAAAAAACTTGACAAGTTTGAACAAACCCCCAGAAACCAAAAATAAACAACAAAAGAAACACCCTACACCATCCTCATCTTTGGTTTTCTCAAATACTTTTGGCCCAGGAAGTCATTGGATACATTCTGCCTCTCCTTTAATGGTATTTGAAGTGAAAAGAATTCTAGTCTATCAATTCCTCTCTTCCTGTGTTTGGTCTGTACTCATAGGGAAGCGTTTTTCTGGAATTCCTGGAGGAGAAGGAAAGACAGCAAGCAGTGGAGGCATTTGTGATCAGGATTTCAGAAATGACATTCTGATTCTAATACATTGTATTAGAGCAAAATGTAATGAGCCTTTGACAGGCATGGTCATAATCCCTTTACAAAATCACTTAAATATGTCTATACATCATTTTTTAATGAGTAGAAAAGCATGTTAAATCATAGAATTTGGGAAAGCAAAGGAAGCTTAGAAACTCTGAAATATTGAGTTCAATGCAAGTGCTAGCTATGTTTTCTAAGCATTTAATGTTTCTCTAGCATAGAGCATCCATTGAGTATTTTGTAGGAATAACAGTAATGCTTTATCCGTGACAAACAGGAAATGTATTTAATGATAATTCTGAGACTTTGTAAGCTACAGATAATTAAGAAACCTGGAAGCTTCCTTTATTTCACAGAGAGGTTTGTTTGTTTGTTTTTGGAAACTGATTGAACTGCCAGTCATGTGCTCTCAAACCAAGTATTAGATCATCATTCAAAGTCTGTTTTCCTCCGTGCATTCATCTTAAGGTGCATGGATCAATTTTACCTTGAGAGGAAAGCTTTTAGGCCCCTGTGCCTTGAGGGTGGGGATTCCTACATGTAGTACATCTTCAAGTGGAAGTCAGCTATTCAGTTAAGCTGTAAATTGACATGATTTTCAAGTTCAAGCTATGCAAAGTGCTTTAGAACCTTTGTGATGATTTCCTACCCAGAAAAATGCTGCTGTGTAAACTGACTTTGGAAACTGTATTTTCTTAGATGCCACCATACAGGTTTGAAATATGTACAGGTTGACCCTACAGGGAAGAAAAAAGAAGTGATGCCATTCAAGATGAAGATGCTTGGGATCAGAGGTCCTTTTCAGATGACAATATCTAGATCAGAGTGTCTGAATGTCATCTTAATCAGGATTATTTCACAGGTGGACACAGCTATTTCTTATAATGTCTTGAAAAGGAGGCAGTGATGTGTAATGGTTGTGGGGAAGAAAGGAAGGATAGATACTCTTTTCGTTTCTGTGAAAGGAGAGAGTGCCAGAGGAGTGACGACTGATGAGAACTGTGGACAGACTGTGCCATTTGATTCTTAGGCTTCCTTGTTTCTTCCTTTTAAAAATAAAAATTGTAATGTTGGTACATTTTTATTTGGTCTCTTTTAGTACCTAAATCTACCAAGAAGTTGATAAGACTATTTTGATTTAACTAAATACCCCATTGAGATGATAGCACCGTCTGTAAAGGTTAGGTGTTTTCTTTAAGTAACAACCGTATAATATTCATAGTCATTTTCTAATCATTGTAGCATTAAATGAAAAAGCAGGAGTTGGAAAATTTTAAAATATAAACTCAACTGAGTGAATAGGATGTATTTTTAAGCTCTTTATTCTACAATCTTATAAAGGGAAGGGATTCAATTAGTGAAATATACCTCCTTTGTCTCCAGTTGAATACATACAAGTGAAGGTTGGTAAGTAAATATTTTTATTTTTTTGCTTTATCGAAGAACAGTGTTGTCACAGTGTTCTGACCTGTGGAAACTCACTTTATGCTTAGACATATGTAGTACTTTACGAGCACTTTTTTCCATTTCTTGTCAAGTTTGTCTCACATAGAATCGTTGAAACTTTGTAAAACAAAATGAAAAACCCTTTCCATTAAGCATGAATATGTTTAAGTAGAACGCAAACTATGAATAAGATATAGCTAAGGAAAACACACAGGGTTAACATATGTATTGTCCTTGTTCATAAAAAGTCATTGATAATCAATGGGAAATGATTTTCATCTGACATAAATAATAACAGAGTATCCTGTTTTTCAGCCGACTTAGAAATGGGGTTGTCCATTGCTAATTTTCAGGGCACTGGTGCATCTGTCATATTTGTGCTATTACGAAGTAGAGTGGAAATATACATGGAAATTTTGTTTACATTTTTAAAAGTATTCCTGTGGTGATGGGCTCATGTGCACCATTCAGAGTGTAATGGATATTTTGTGTCTTTTTTTTTTATTGATACAGTTTAGAATGGTTATGGGCTGTCATTCAGTGGCAAAAGGGCCTGTTCCAGGATATCTTCTTGACCCAAAAGTCATTCTGAATTCTGCAAGGGACATTTGATATGGACAAAAGGTACCTCTTGGTTTTCCTGCTGAAAGAAACTTGATTCTAAGTATTGAATTTTCCAAACCCATGTAGCTTCCCTAGGTTAGACCACAATCTTGCTTTCTAATATGGGAATCTGAATTCTTATTTGAATGAAGGTTGATGGAGTTTTTTTTGTTGTTGTTCAAGATTGAAGAAACCAAAGCTAATTTTTCAATAAATGGGAATATGTGCTTCTAAAAAGTAAATTAAGATTAGTACTGTGATAGGAATTTTATTTCTGGCTTCTTTGTCTGTTTCCATAGCAGTCTTGATTTCTCACAGTGTCTTCTTCATAAAAGTATGCTAATATGTATCAAGCCATCTGGCCCAATTTGAAGTTCAGAAAATATGATCATTTTGGGGGAGAGGCAGAAAGATTAACCCCCAGTTATGACTTGGTAGCTTTGAGGAGCATAGCATGTTTATCAGCTGAGGCCCTAAGCAGAGTCAAGCTTTCTTCATTCAGATTTCAAGATCAGTGTGGATTTATAAGGACAATTCAGTGTTCCTTATGATGTCTTATCATTCTGCAAATCATGTTCTCCAATAATGAGCCACAGTATGGCTGACCTAAGTTCTAGTTTGTATCCATTTGCTGTCACTGGTGTTTTGAAATGTAAATTCATATAGAGGTCACCAGCATCTATGTGACTTTGATAATTGATCCAGAAAGTTAATTAACTCTTGCTTTCTGACCTGGGAGTGGTCTATTGGGACTACCTTTATCCAGCCTCTGAATTCCATTTTCTATTGATACATAAACAGTTTGGAAAATACAGAGCCATAAAAGGGTACATTAACAGAGTATGCAGATTATACATGTGGCACTCCTTTTACCTCATACTCTTAATCCCAGTACTTGAGAACCCGAGTCAGGAAGGTCACCAGCTCAGGACAAGTTAGGGCTACATGAGTGGTTTCAGGAATACTTATCAACACCTTGACTCAAGAAAACAAAACAAAGCAAAAACAAAAACAAACACCGTGTAAAGAAAAAAAATAGCACACCATAAATCAGAAAATAAGCAAGCCCTAACTGTGTAGTTAACTCTGGTGAGCCAGTGCAGGAAATTAATCAGGGTTAAATATTAAATACACATGACAATTTTGTCATAGTTCCTGTGGTTTTCATAGATAATGAAGAGGGAATGCTGTCGATGGTGTAAAACAGAAATGAGCCATGGATCAAATATACAGGGTAATAGCTTCTGTGAAATATCAGATGACATGTTAACCCACCTTAGAAGTACTCTCAGTGTTATTCTAGGAAAACCCAGTAAGTACAGGGGATGGTTTCTCTTCTTCTAGACATTAATATTATGAAGAACTGTGCTTGATTCTTTTCAATTTTCCATGTACCAAGAGAGTAAAGATAGTTTGTCCACAGCTTCTTAAGTTACTGGTTATTAGGGGGTCGATAGCTTATTAAGTTACTGGTTACTGGGGATCCATAACTTACTAAGTTACTGGTTATTGGGGGTCCATAGCTTATTAAGTTACTGGTTATTGGAAGTTCATTACTTACAAACGCAGTTACATAAACAGAGTTTGTGCATATCAACTAGAGCCGAACCAAATAGTTTTATTTATTTTGGAAGAATCACATTACCATATCATCCATTTATGTTATATGTATTATGCATTTCTTATTCTTCTTTTGTTAGGACAAACTAGGTATAAGCTAATGAGTAGTCTGAGATATTGCAAAAAAGACAGTCTAAAGTGAAAGGTGAAATTTTCCACTACTAGGAAAATATGCATTCTGTAGAAGTGATGATATTTGAGGATTGAAAAACATTTCTTTAAACTTTAGGTTGGATTTTGTGTCTTAGGCCTTCAATGACATTAGAGGAGTCCCAGGGATACAGGGACATGGTGTGTCTATCTCAGGAGGAAAGCATAATTCTTTTCTTTATGAGACATTGCAAAATGTTTATTTTTAGGCATATTATTTTCACTCTATAAAAGATGCACCTGGAAAGGAACTGTGGATCTACCTAGCATTGTCTAGAAACAGACTTACCTAAAGTTATTATCTTTATGTGTTTTTCTTATAATTGTTGCTTGATACGTCTCCTCAATTGTCCCAAGCTTATCTATAATGTTAAAATGTTTTACATTTTTAATGTCTCTTAGTCTGTGAAGGCATTCACATGAAATAGTTGGAGAATACAGGCTCTCTCATAACTCCAGGTGATAATTATCTGAATCCCCACTCAGTCATGATAAGAACTATATTAGCTAACTTGGAAGATGCATGCTGCTCTATTTTTAGACTGAATAAGCTTGTACTTGAATGGATTGGTGATTTCCCCAAAGAACACTCATGGCGTTGATAGCACCTGAGTGAGTCTTTCTTTCCCTTCTCAATGGTAGGGATCATGATCCAAATGAGGCTTTCAGTTGCTACCAGGGAGATCAGGAAATAATTAATGAGTCTCTTTGGACTGATGTCCAATGCCTGTGAAGAGGTTATAGACTCCCTAGGGAATACCTTTGGTTTAAAATTTATTTACTTATTAGCTGTTTCTGGTTGAAGTAAAATTAAATAAGTTGATATCTATTTAAAAACTTTTATTGATTATTGAGAATTTCATACATTGTATTTTGATCATAATCGCCCCCTCTCCCATCTCCTCCCAGCTCTATCTCTCATTCCATACCTATCCAATTTTGTGCCTACATTTAAAAATGTCAAGCCCATTAGTGCTGTCTATCTATCCTTGGGTGTGTGTCCTTCACTGGAATGTGTTTGACCTGCTCAGAGCAGCCCTTGAGTAAACTAGCTGTCCTTCTCCCAGAAGTTTTCAATTTTAGGTTAATTTTCTTACTAATAGAATGAGATTTGAGAAAAGAGGAGTTAGACATTCCAAACCTCATATTATCTTATTAACTGCAGGCATATCCCTAGACAACTATTTTAGGAAATTAATGTATGTGAGGTTGCAATATATAATCAGAACTATTGATTTGGAAAGAGATTAGCCTAGAAATGGTGACTTATTTATTCATTCTTCCTGATGGTATGATGCAATCCCTTTGTATTTTTTGTGTCCTCTTCCTTGACTTTTAATATTATATTTAAATTGGTAGGTTTCATATAAACATTTTGGCTTTCTAGCATAGTAAAAGGCACTTATGCATTGACTGGATGGTGACAGGTGTATTTGATTTTTTTTTTGGTTTTATGAGACAGGGTTTCTCTGTGGCTTTGGAGGCTGGCCTGGAATTATTGATATCTTCTTTTGCAGCATTTGTTTTTGGTCTGTTTTTAAGCTGACTTCAGTAACTATAAAAATACAACACAAGATGTGCCTGTTCTCTGTAACACAGTCAACAGATACTGGTGGAAAATTAGGGTACTTTCTCCAAGTATCTTTAAGTGACCTCAAAGTTCTTGACGAGTTTCTTGCAGAATAGAATCAGGATCTAGGACCAGAGCCAACTGAGAGACAGGTGGAGTTTAAGGCAGGTGGTCAAGAAGCAAGGAGTGATGCCTAAATGAAGTTATCAATTTGTTGGAAGGATTAACTAGATCAGTCTAAAAACAACTGCATTTTATAATGCTAATTATATATATATATATATATATATATATATATATATATATATATATAGCTCAAGCTACCCAGAAGAGTGTATTCGTCTCCTAGATCCGATCTCCCAGAACACTTACATACAAAAGGCTACACCTGCTGCTGCAAAATAAGGTTAAAACTCACTGTTTCCTTCTGAGAAGGGGATTCTCACGTCTTTAAATGACTGACACTTGGTCACTGGTCATACATTGAAATTGAGCTAAGAAATCTACAGAAGCCCTGGGAATGAACATCACTAACGCAGATTTGTATTATATGTTTATGCCAGTTATTTCTTGTGTGCAATACTTGGAGTAATGGAGAAATCATAAAAGTTGTGCAACCTAATTAGAAGTTTGCTGTCATATGCTCCTTGCTGGTTTAGCTGTTGCAGTGACTACTTTTCATCCACACAGAGAAGAGGTGTCATTTTACTACCAGATTCCACATATTTCACAGGCTTCCAGCCAGTGTGAGAGAGAAAGGGTTAGATTTGATAGATAAGCATGAAGCACCATACAGTATCTCAAGGTGTGAGTCATCTTGTGATGCCAGCCTATTTTTACTCTCTCAAGAGATTGAGAGGAATCTTTAGATGGGAGCAGTTCTCTTCAGGAACTGCCATTTCCTCCTTGTACCCCTATGGTGTCACTCTCAGAGATTAGTCTGGTGTCACAGGAGGTAAATCCTACCTTCACTGCTAAAACATGTTGGCAATCACATTCTGGAAGTATTTTCCCCTCTTATTTCAGTTTCAAAAAGCCGTAGTTGCATTGCAATGTTTGCAAGCGATTAAAACAAAAGCCATCTGACTTTAAAACGTTTTGTTGCTTCACTGGAGGGGTTTGGTAATGAGTAATGGTGCAAAATTCTAATGTATGTCTAAAGAAAAAGTAAACAATACAGAGATGTCGTTTTTGTTTGCTTTTCAAATTTTCACCTAATTACTAAGCATATTTTAAGGTCTAAGAGACAGACAGAGAAAATGGTTGGCTCCCCCATCCTTCCAGGACCCTACCTCTGGTCACATGCCATTTCTTCTACCTGAGCCTACAATCTGAAGGACAATTGCCATTCTCTATACATATTTCTTATCAGGAACTATTTGTGTGTGATTTAAGTAGATATCTTGCTATTTTATAAATCAGGGCCATAGCAGTGCACATCCAGAGAGCTCCTACTGTCACCTGCATTGTGGGTCTCTTCTGTCTTGTTATGCTAGCTCTTTTCTGTCTATTACTGAACATGTGGGATTTTTGAAACATCTGGATGATTAGATTTTTTTCTCCTTATTTTTCACTTAGATTCTTTAGTGCTGTGTAGAAACAATGCTGGCGTGGAACAACCAGGAAGCGTAATAATAATAACAATAAAATCTATTCTGATATAGTTGTTGTGAGGTATTGA